TCTTTGATATTCAAGATTGTTCCCAAATCGGCGCAGAACCGACGGCAAGGATGAGCGGACCGGCAGGGCGCTGATGTGATTCTGGATTTGGGGTGTGATTCAGCCAAACAGGGGAAGCCAGACTCCAGTAAGCCGCAGACTGCAATTGTATCCGCAGTGGTGAATCGGGCGCGACAGCGGACACTTGCAGACGGCGGTTGCTCGAACCGGGTCGGTTAAGGACAAGGCGAAGGCGGGATCAGGTCAGGGTCCAGAACCGGATACGAATATAGTCTGGGGAAGAAGCTGACGAGTGAGCTGGGAGAGGCCAGAGGAGTACCCGTAGGAGAAGAGAGGAGGAGAGAGCCTGGAGAAGAGAGGCCCAGGCAAACCACAGACATGGGTGAATGAATGGACGAGAGTGGATGGTGAGAAAGGGTGAGGAAGGGATATCTCGTATTCATATGATGATTCTACAGCGGTACGGTGTGTGTGCCTGGGCGGGCGGTAACAGAGGTACCTATCTACCTTACCCACCTCACCACACCCACACCTCAGTCACTTACCTGGGCAAGATGTCTGGTTTGGAATGCCATTTCATGGGCCCTGGCCTGGAACCGGCAAACCGTCGACGGACAAGGGCAGATAGAGCGCGAATGGGCGGTGGATTGGTGGTACAGACTGGTGCTTTTTGGGCCGTTTTCCTTTGCAGCTCGACCTGCCCGAAACTGGTCGAAACCGGGATACGGGGGCAGGGGTAATGGTGCCGGGATCATGGATGGCATCAGCACGCACGGCGCTGCTTAGCGGTACGAAGACCTGCTCTGGCGAGTCTGGTTAATCTGGCCACTGATTTTGGGCATTGCGAACGATTGGAACCTGTGAGGCATTACAAGCCATTCATCTCAAGCCAAGGCAACATGACTGAGAAACGTGTGCGAATAAAACGAACCCGAGAAGACGATAGCGGCAGCATCCGGACCTAGTTTGCTGCAGCACTCGGGCAGAGAAACAAGGTTGATGGCACGATTCCCAATGACACATGTCACTCTCCGCACAAACAACCACATATGTACTGCATAGTTAGTACTAATTCCTACCAGGCAGCTCCATGTTCCCTACCTGTCTCACCGCACTATGGATACACGTATTCTAGCGATAACCACTGACGTCGAATCCACTGGGCCAGGTCACTCAGTGCTCAGATGCCTACGATTCCCATGCACCAGCTCATCTTCATCGAAAATCAGGCTTGCATAGCGGGTGCATTAGATACCCGGGCGTGATGATCAGACGATGATACCTGGTGCAACCCTCACATTCAGGCACGTTGAGAATAATTCTTGGAAAGTCGGTATGTTCCCTGTGGAAAAGCCTCTTCGGATCGGTCGGACCGCTCACAAAGTCGACCTAGAGCAATCTCTATAAATCTGTACCATGCTCTAGCTGTCTTTGCTCTAGCGGATATATGTCCACCTTAACCTTACCTAAGGTAAGGTAGGGAAAAGCAGCTTGCTGTTCTGGGCAGAGCGGTACGTACTGGACTGCTCTAAAGGGAAGAGCTCTGACTTGGCCGTTGGTCCATGCTTCGGCGGCGCCGCGATCTTCTTTCGCTTCCATCCTTCAGCCATCAATCATCGAAAGACCGAGTCTGCATCGGACTCTTCTCTTAATCCGTATTCCTGCTTAAACTGAGGTTGCGTGAGGCAACTTTCTCTCTTTAGATTGTCAAAATACCGATTTCTCATTCCTGCTCGGAAACTCTGCCCGACCGCAAGCCGGTTCTAATAAACTGCATCCATGGTCGACTTGGACTTGTTAGAATCATTTCGTCACTCACATATTTGTATTCGTACGGAGTACACAAATAGTTCGACTTGGTCTGAAACCAGCCACCCGAATCGTCAATGGCGAGCCATTCACCACCGCTGATCCGGAACGCTACCGACCTAAATGCAGCTTGCGGCTTTCCAAAGCCTCGGCATCCAAGACAGATCAAACCCGTCCTTGCCGCCTTAGTCTGGAGTACGGCGTGCCAGGCACATCACGGATACACGTGCGCATCAGGCGCGCCATCTTTGGCATATTTCAAAGTTACCCGCTCCGTTGCCAACGAATACCCGTTCCGAGTACTATTCAAGAGCAAGACATCAAGAACTACCTATTGGGCGGGAGCAGCGTCTCCCGAATCCTCAACCGTTGCGTTCGCCATTTGAGAAACAAGACCCCATTGTGCTCCACCACGGCGGGAAACCCTTTCCACTCGACGTCCATCCCCAGCCACCTGGGAAGCTTGCCAACGATGCCCAGAACCAAAATCCGCCAATCCAAGCCTTTTCTCTCCCAAACGAGCCGGGATATCCCACTCCCCTGCTGCCAAACGTTTTTAAGCTAACACTCACCGCAGATCTGCGTGTCCATCTCCCGGCCACTGGTCTGCAACTCGACTCCATCTCCCTCGTGCTGCATCACCATTGGTCAAAAGCATTTCTGCCACGAGGTCTGGCTACATTCTGAAGCGTCTAGGAGGTGTAAACCTTCGGGGCGGCTTGCCCTAGAGCCGCCTCGAGTCCAGACGGCACGCTGCGTCTATACATATCCAAGGAATGGACAGGTCCAGCCGATTTCCCGTTTCTGCCACGAAATCCTTCAATGGAAAAGAAGTCGGCATCGAGATTCACAGTCGAGAAATGCTGGTAGCGGCTGAGTTCTCGGTCGCCAAGATCCCTGCTTAGCAACAACCTATTTGCCTAGCGGTGGCTTTAAGACACAGGCATGTCGAATTCGCGAAGAGACGGCGCGGAACTATGACTTCATCACTTTGCAACAAAACACATACCATACAAAAAATATGGCCATTCGCTCAGCCGGCTCTCAAATCTGCTTGAAGGGTATCTGGACGATTATCGAGTCTCAAATAGGGTCGAGTCGTCCAATGACCATTCCCCACGTTAGGCTGATCTCTCTTTTCAAATTATGGGAAGAGGCTGGAGAACGGGTTTTTGTCGTTCCCGAAATTGATAGCTTGAGCCCAGATGACCGCTAGGCGACTTGTGAATACTGGCGAGCAGAACATTTTGTTCAGGAGCTGCACTGCTGCACTGCATCCGTTGCCAGCACGGCGAGAGCCCGGTGGGTCCAACGGCCTGATTAACATCGTTCAAATGGCATCAGGCAGAGCCGCAAACTTGGCCAATTACCTACACGCTCTGCTTCACCATGGTTGACTGTCTGCAAAATAGGTCTTAGCGAGTTTTTACTCGTGGGGCCATGGAGTCGATGAATTAAATATTGTAATTGGACTTCATCGCCAAGCGGGATGCGTTCCGGAACCACCAGAAGCATTCGAACCCAGATACCATTGGCCTCCGCCGAAAGTACAATAGCCGACTGTCTTGAGAAGAAACTGCGCCGCTCCTTTTCAAGAATGTCGCAACGCCTATGTATGCGCCAGTTACCAATCCGCTCAATTTGGACCTATACTCAGCCGTCGGCATCAACATGCCATTGCTACCGCCCGAGAAGTCTCGGCAATGCTATCGGACTACGTATAAACGCTCCAGCAAAGCGTGATGAAGTCACGGCCAAGGATGGGTTGATCTTGAATAACGAAATGATTACCAATGATAGGGACGGCAAAACATCAAAGGAAGCGGAAAAGCTTGGTCGTCCCTGGTTTGCTGAGGCTCTTGTCTCTAGAGGACGGAGAGATCATTCTCGGCATGTGAAATTTCCCACTAGAGCACTTAAACTGGGAGGCTTGCTGAAGGTGTTAGCGATCGCTTAAGCGCGAGAATCCTACGTGGGGGCCTTTGCGTGGTGTGTCGAAACTTGTCGAAAGACACCTTCACTTGATGGTCTTATGTCCCAGTGAAAGGCTTGCAAGTGTACAGTTCAAGCTTGGAAGGTTCTCATGGCTATACACAAAGGAACAGAAAACGGCACGAGTTTGTATTCAGACAGTTGCATTTGACAACCAAAGATCCAATCAGACAACTCCAACGAAACCAAGATTGGGGGGGGGGGGGACGCGAGGTTTTACTAACAGAAATTCCCCAAAGAGGGACAACCTGAACACAGGTCACAGGATCCTTCCGAATCTAGCCTCTATCGTACCTCTGGCGTCATAGGATATCCGAGTTTTCACTTCTCGATGATCTACGCTCAGTATTGTGGAATTGAGTGGGCGAAACTCCATGGAGACAAGATTCCGCGAAGAGGAATATCCACCACGACGAACAGCCAATGGAGTTCTGAGCCATAGATCTTCAGGAACTTAGTCTCGGGAACTTGGCTGGTGGTGGGGAATGGCGGCCAAGGAGTGGACACGGAATGTCATCAATGTCCACGGCAAAGAGAAAAGAACTGGAGCAAGGGATCTCGGTGTGTCAAGCGACATCGGGCTAACCCCGCAGCCGGCAGCCGGGGGCCGGCAACCGACAACCGCGCAGCCGATCGACGCGGACGTCGGGGCTACCCCACCACCCTCACCGAGCTGACCGATTGCACTTCGCAGCAAAGAGATCGAAATGGCCCAAGTCGAGACACGAAATTCTTTGACGAGATCTACAAGCTTTCAGATAAGCTGCTGTCAAAAGCCTATCCAAAGGATCGGGTCCATGTTGGAATGTTCGGCATACTGTCCTATAACACGTGCAATGACCTATAGTCTGGAACGACCCGTGCCAAGGAACATACTGGAAGTTCTGCGAATAGCGGCATGTCGCCATCGTGACAATCTGTATGGCGCGCAAGAGGCCATCACGGCCTTTTAGAATACAGACTTGACATATCTTGTGAGTCTTGGACCTTGATAGGGCGCCAAGAGTGGCCAAGGGCGGAAGACGCTTGGTATTCTCAGCCCTTCTGTTGGCGAGCTCTTCAAGGTGAGGTTACAGGTGTCTAGTCTAAGCCAAGAAGCTGGGCGCCAGCACGCCAGATGAGGCAGGAATTGCAACTTTGACAACGTCTCTGCAGCTTGTACTGCAGCTTCGGGCACGAAATTGTCTTGCAATGGCGCGTTGTCGGGAGTCGGGACGAGGGTAGAACGTGGCGCAGGGTCCCTGATGATTGATATCGGGGGTTATCAAGCCACATTTGGCGGGGTATTTTGTATTGGCAATTTTCGTTGCGCCATACCACCGACCAGGACCCTTGATGAAGGATTCGTTGCGCTGGTATCGCAGGTTTCTATGCTGTTTCAAGGAGCCTCTGCTTTCCTCGACGCGGTATAAACATGCGGTGATTAGGCTAAGTTGAGGTGTTGTATGAGAGTACGTACGTTATTACCAATACCCGTCCCGACGCCAAAAAGATGCCGGAACACCGAGCCGCGACATTGCAAAATAGCGACCCCACGGCTTCATGGATCTCCCATGGGTCAGTCTCCGGGTCAGACATGCAACAGCATGGAGAAGAGCAGACTTTTCCCGCGGCTACGCACCGCGACCAAGTCTCTTTTCGGACGGAATGGGATGGGATGGGATGGGACCTTACGGTAACTTATCGTGGCGAACATGACTTAGTCGTGGCTGACTGCGGCAGAGAGGGCTACAAAGAGCCAACATTGGTAATTAAGAGTACATGGCATGCCGCCAAGGAGGGTACATGTGCAAGGTAGCGATCACGTCATTTGAACTAAACAGCCTCCAATTTTTACCTTGGACAACGGGGTATCCGTACAGCACCAGCAGCGCACCTCAGCAACACACGGAAGGCCGATTTGACGCCGGGAACGAGCGACAATTCTCTCACTTTGTCTCTGTCCTTCTGTCTGTGTGTCTGAGGAGAATATAAGACACCTTTGCCCTCGCCCGTCTCCTCGCCGGACTCCCTTTCCCGCTTGTTCTCCTGTCTCTTCTATTTCATCCGTGAATCCCCTCCCATTTACCTTCTTATACCCAATATTCCCCTTTGCAACGAGAAGCTTCAAGCTCAATCCGTCGTGTGTTCTCTCTCTTCCTCTCTGAGCATTGTCTAGAGTGTGTCTCTTGACGATTCCATACCGGCCCGCTCCCTATTACAAAGCCTCGCGCTTCCTTTAAATACATACACAATGGCCAACTCTCCCCACGGCGGTGTCCTCAAGGACCTTTTCGCGCGCGATGCGCCGCGCCAGTCTGAGCTCATTGCTGAGGCCGACAAGCTCCCTTCCCTCTTGTTGACCGAGCGCCACCTCTGCGATCTCGAGCTCATTCTCAACGGTGGTTTCTCTCCTCTTGAAGGTACGTGGTTTTTACTGCCCGCGCTGCTGCTGCTGCTGCGGCGGCGGCCGCTACCCCCTTTGTGCATTCGTTGCGCGACGACGGTGGTGGGGTTGCGTCGCAGAAACGACCCCGCCATGATTTTTTTTTGGAGGGGCAAAGTTCCCCACGATTACGTTGCTCGCCCAAGAACAGCGGGACTGACTGTGGTGGCATCTCTATAGGTTTCATGACCGAGAAGGACTACAATGGGTACGTTGAACATGCGAATAAGACGTGCTCCCGAGATAACAGTGGTTACTAACATGATTGATACAGAGTCGTCAAGGACAACCGTCTCGCCGATGGCGCTCTCTTCTCCATGCCTATCACCCTCGATGTCTCCCAGCAGCAAATCGACACCCTCTCCATCAAGCCCGGTGCGCGCATCACCCTCCGCGACCTCAGAGACGATCGCAACCTTGCCATCCTCACCGTCGAGGATGTCTACAAGCCTGACAGGTAGGCCAAACATGTCTTCAGGGAATTGGCATTGGCTGACATGTTTCTCTAGAGTCAAGGAGGCCATTGAGGTCTTTGGTAGCGACGACGACACCCACCCCGGTGTGAAGCACCTCTTTAACAACACCAACGACTTTTACGTTGGTGGTAAGCTCGAGGCTATCCAGCGTCTTGCTCACTACGATTTCCTCGACCTCAGATGTAAGTCCACCACCCCCCGGGTGCATACCAACGCAGTAGGCCCAGAACATCGAGACTAACGAGTATCCAAAGTCACTCCCGCCGAGTTGAGACAGCACTTTGAGAAGCTCGGCTGGAACAAGGTCGTCGCTTTCCAGACTCGCAACCCCATGCACCGCGCCCACAGAGAGCTCACTGTCCGCGCCGCCCGCTCCCAACAAGCCAACGTCCTCATCCACCCCGTCGTCGGCATGACCAAGCCTGGTGACATTGACCACTTCACCCGTGTCCGCGTCTACAAGGCCCTCCTCCCCAGATACCCCAACGGCATGGCCGCCCTGGCCCTGCTGCCCCTGGCCATGCGCATGGGCGGTCCCCGCGAGGCCATCTGGCACGCCATCATCCGCAAGAACCACGGCGCCACGCACTTCATTGTCGGCCGTGACCACGCCGGCCCCGGCAAGAACAAGAACGGCAAGGACCACTACGGCCCGTACGACGCCCAGGTCGCCGTTCAGAAGTACTCTGACGAGCTCGGCATCACCATGGTCGAGTTCCAGGAGATGATTTACATCCCCGACCGTGATGAGTACCAGCCCGCCAACGAGATCGCCCCTGGCACCCACACCGCCAATATCTCTGGCACCGAGCTCCGCAACCGCCTCAAGACCGGCAAGGAGATCCCTGCGTGGTTCTCCTACCCCGAGGTCGTCAAGGTCCTGCGCGAGCAGAACCCCCTCCCCGCCCAAAAGGGCTTCACCATCTTCCTCACCGGTCTGCTCAACAGCGGAAAGGACCAGATCGCAAAGGCCCTCCAGGTCACTCTTAACCAGGGCGGCGGCCGCTCCGTCTCCCTCCTCCTCGGCGAGACTGTCCGCCACGAGCTCTCCTCCGAGCTCGGCTTCAGCCGCGAGGACCGCGACAAGAACGTTGGCCGCATCGCCTTCGTCGCCTCAGAGCTTACCCGCGCCGGCGCCGCCGTCATCGCTGCGCCCATTGCGCCGTTCGACGAGGCCCGCCAGAAGGCCCGCGAGCTGGTCGAGAAGGCCGGCCCCTTCTTCCTCGTGCACGTCGCCACCCCACTCGAGTACGCCGAGAAGACGGACAAGCGCGGCATCTACCAGAAGGCGCGCAACGGCGACATCAAGGGCTTCACCGGTGTCGACGACCCGTACGAGGCACCCGCCAAGGCCGACCTCGTCGTCAACCTCGAGCAGCAGACGGTCCGCTCCATTGTTCACCAGATTGTCCTGCTCCTCGAAAGCCAGGGTCTCCTGGACCGTTTGTAAACGCAACAATTTTGCAAACTTTCATCAATGAGCGATATAAGTGTGATTTATACGGCATAGAGCGTACATGCGCGTAGACCTCTTCTCAAAGCGCAAAAAGTAGGGTGGATATATATACATCGGAGTTGAGACTTCAAAGACAACCTTGGGATAAAAAAGTTGTTTGATGACGAATTTTTACGAGTTATTTTACACAAGAGATGGTTATAGAGCATCATATAGTAGGCTAGGGTTGGAGAGTTGGATTACACTTTACTCTTCCCCACGTATGGCTGAATAGTGGAATGGAACGACACTTGAATGATATTGCTCCATGAGATCGATCTGAACGGGACGTGACTGCGACAGATAAGATATGCTTAAAAGGACGAAATAACAACAAACCAGTCGAGATCAAGTAGTTGCCTTAGACACTAGCTCAAACAACCTCGGATAATGGCATAGAGGTGATGGTGGGTTGATTGATTGATTGATTGATTCATGGTGGTGTGGTGCGCAAGAGAAAGCACGAGGATGGATGCATGGGCCGGGCGCTTAGTCGCTGGGCGAGACAGTGATTGGTGCAAGAGACAGCTCGACGGGACTCTGCACATATGCGGTTCGTTTGTTGGTGCCCGATGGACGGCGGCGGGTTGGCGCGCCGTTCTTTGTAGGAGGGGGGGGGGGGAGGGGATGGAAAGGGCGGAAGGGTATCAATACATGGGAGGAGGGGGTAGTGATGTAGTAGTGTAGGTTGGTTGGGCTAGGATGGGGTTTATTTTAGGAAGTGTTCGACTTACTCTGTCAGTCTGTCTTCGGGTGCAAGATGGGTGTTTTATGGTAAGGTTGGTTGGTTGAGTTTTGTTGGATGGGAAGTGCAGCGGCGTACCTTACCTAGGTGTGTTGGTGCCAAAGGTAAGTAAGTGGTATATGTACCGGTAGTCCAGCGAGTCTAAGGTAGTCAGGTACGTGAGACATGGGCATTTCTATTTGAGGCAGCAATGTCTCTCTCTCATGGAGCACTGTGGCCGCGCCTGTTGTCGTATGGTCTTGTGCGCTTGCTTCCAGAGATGTGAAGCGAGAGACAGCGATGACGGAGGTAAAAGTGAGTTGCCTCGCGATCGAACTGGGGTCGATAATGATCCTGTTTCGATCATTCTTGCTCGAGGTTATCCGAGACTAGATAAGTATCTACCACTGCGACCTTACCTACGTAGAGAGTGGTTGGACATTCGAGCACTGCTTGGTTTATTGGTGAGCCAGGAGCCGCCTGCTTAAGTCCCTAGGTAGGTGAATAGCTATCCGTACGTCTGTATGCGATGGCGAATTACTTCGTCCATTTGCCCGTCAGCCACGATGCTAAATCCTTGAGGAACGTGCTGGTCTAGGTATCTCAGGTGCTAAGGCATAAGGCAAGGTAAGGTAGGCAGATCATGTCCGATGTTTCAAATCCGTGGAAAGCTGATGGACAGGAGGATGTCACACGGTGCGATACCGAGCTCTCGTTCGCTTTTGAAACGGTACGTTTTGCCCGTTTCACACGCTGGCTACGTACCGTGTGAAGAGACGGGTTTCTTGACGGCGAGACACTGGCTGATGGAATCTACCAATGAAATTCATGGTTGTGGCCCGAGCTTCTGGCAGTGTCCGTTGTGGATCCCCAAGTGACCTCCCTCCCAGAGTCCCATCGCGTCGCCGTCCAGTCCAGGCGCAACTCGTTGCAACTCAGCCCGGTGCCACGTCAGGTTCTGGCCACAGGTCTACCTTACCTTACCTTACATACACTAGGAAGGTAGGGTACCTTAGGTATTGCGTACAATTCAAGGTACGGACACCTCCTCACCAAATCACTCACTCGACACTGACCTCAACTGAATCAGTGAATAATGCGCTGCAGAAGGACATGTGTCACCGCCTCCTCCGTACTCTAAATCACCCTTCGCCTGCCTTCCCTTGACATCCATCTCCCCGTTATTTTTCTCCACCCCCTCCTTCGCCTTTACTGCGTACGCTGTGAGGCATGCAAGAAGCGGTAGCGTAGGTACGGATATCCATAGATGCAGTAACCCAAGGTAGAGACTCAAGTGTGGGCTGCCTGTACCTGTACCCAAAGTACCAACCAACCCGCCGCAGTTCCCTTCAACGCCTTACAGGGGGGTGCTGCCCCTCTGATCGAATCACATTCGGCTGCGTTGCTCGTCAACTGCTTGCAACCGCCCGTCTTTCCACTCCCGTTTCCCACACACTTACCGGTAGGTTACCTTACCTTGGACTCATCCCTCCCGCCTGGCTTTGGCCTGCCTGCACCCATGACTTTGGAGGTGAAGTGTGCACCTCACCTCACCTCACTCATTCACTCCCTCGGTTGGGAGCGTCCATCCATCTCCCGTCTCGTTACTTCTCTCGTCCTTCTTGCATCAATTTCCATCTTCTGCCTTCCACGACCCGACGACGACATCTCGAAAAAAAAAAGTTAAACCGCATCATTCCTGACGCTCCAAACATTAGACGCAGCAAACGACGAGCCAAACGGATCCTTCCCCCGCCACCTACCGTTCGGTCCAAGTCAGGGGTGCGCATTTTTCCAGAAATTCTCCAGTTTTGTGACAACTCCCGCCCTCTTTGCTCAAGACGACGAGGGTCGGTGAGCAAAACCCCAGACCAGGTCCTGCCTGCTTCGGTTCCCTTTTCCTTCTTCCCGCCAGCTTTCTCGACAACTTGGAACTCAAACACACTGAACCATCCTACCCTGGACCTCGAACCACGGTCCGCTTTGCCTTTTGGGCTCCCAGAAACCTTCCTACCCACCACCACCATCCTCTTTGGCAAGCTTCGCTGTCGGTCAAGTTTCTTGCCTCTTACTCGTTGCGCCGACGGCATTTCGACTCGACCCCGTCACCGTCGCAGTCGCCGTCACCGTCAACCTCTCTACTACTACGACTCGAAAGAAATCCCCGCAGCAAAGCACAGCAATTCGGCTAGCTCTCTCGGGCTACGCACCCATGCTCCGCCATGTCCTCCCAAGATCGTGACGTCGAGGTCGATGTCGACGCTGATGGCCGAGTCATCAACCTCCCCGACTTTGGGGATATGCGCCCGCGCAAGGAGGCCGAGAAGAGTGAAAAGACCGAGAAGAAGGCTTCCCGAAGCAAATCAGAGCGCAGCAGCAGATCCGACAGAGAAAAGGGAGACAGAGAGCACCGATCACACCGCGTGAGCTCCCGCTCCTCAAAATCGAAAATCGCCGACGGCAGCGGCCTCGGCAGTGACGTCCATTCCCACTCCCACCGCCGCCACCGCACCCGCGAAGAACGAGACCGCGACCGAGAGAGAGACCGCGGACACGATCGCTCCTCTTCCATGACCGACCTCATTCCCGAAATGTCTCGGACCTCGCTGACTGGTCCGGCCTCGACTGACCGCATCTCGCTTCCCTACCCGACCTTCAGCAAGGCTCACAGCAAGGAAGCCGTCCGCAATAGTCGCGAGGACGTCTCGGGATCAGGCGTCGGTGCCACGAGAAGGGCCGATCCATTCACCCCCGAAGCCACCGATCTGGGCGACAGCGAACTCAAGCGATCCCAGAGCGTCGATCACTCCGAAAAGCAGCGCAAAAGTTCGTCCAAAAAGGAGTCGAGGCCGCCTAGTCCGCCCGAGACCGACTTGTCGGGCAAGAGACGATCTGCCACCCCCGAGGAATCGTCAAAGAAGGTGCGCGAGGAGCGTTCGAGCTCAAGACTTAGCGGTGAGACATCCAAGAGAGACCGGGAAGACAGGCCGAGCTCGCGTCTCAGTGGTCTGTCGAGATCCGGCTCCAGAGCCGACGATAAGTCTCGGGTGAGCTTCAAGTCAAAGACTAGCAGTCAGGCGACGTACGTCAAGTCGCCAGCATTTCCACCTGGCGTCCAGGAAAGCTTGAACATCAAGCCGAGCACTTCTCGATCTTCCTCGAAGCGAAGCTCCTCGAGCAAGAAAAGCCGACGTGCAGAGTATCACGATGGCGACTCGTCTCCCGAAAGCCTGCAGGACTCGTCTCCTAGAACTCCTACGCAAGCACCACCATTCCCACCGCCCTTCGCCATGAGCGACAAGCCTCCGGGGCCCCCTCCACAGGTTTACCCCGAAAACGACATCACACCTTCAGCCACCCCAATGACTGACATGCCTCCCCCAACGGGGCCCCCTCCACCCCCGCCACCACCCCCGGCCCTGGATGTACAGGAAGCACCGCGGGTGGACTACCTTTTACAAAACGGCGGTCTGATCCAGCCAATTCCGAAAACATTCCTCTCTGTTCTGCCTCGCCAGAATGGCGCCCGGCCATCGAACCCACCCCTGGTTGGCCCGCAGACTTTATTCGCACCCTTTTTCAACTTATTGGACCAGTACAATTCGGTTCTCAACCGCAACGGCTCCGTAGCAGTTGCGACTGGCCATCGATCTGTGGCTCGCCGTCTTCTAGACCGCCTCGAAAACGTCTTTTCCAGAGAGCTTCCTGAGCATGGATGCACTTGTGTAGTATGTGAAAGAGGCCCCGATATTCAACACCGTGGCCTCGGCTGGGGAGAGGTCCTCGAATGGGTTAGTGGTCGCATTGATCTTCCACAGTGGCCACCGTTTGATTTGGCCAGCTTGGGATCCAATGCTGCCGAAGTGTCGGCGGAGCTGCCACCGCGGCCCGACTCGCCAGTCAAAATCGACCCTGATATTGCCGAGGAGTTCCGCGAGCACTACCTTAGGCAGTCTAAGAAGGTCAGGGGAGCCGTCGACAAGTGGCTCAACACGTGCGGAGAGACCACCGCGCCGCCGCCCCAAGATGTAGACGACGAGACACTCACGTTTGCTATTCTCACAAACATGGATCCAGAAGACCAGCCGTATTTTAATGCGATTTTGGCTGGCTCTAACCATCCGAAGCCGGCAACGAGGGCTCCTACACCCTTGCACCGCGCTCGTCCGGATCTTCTTGTCAGAGCTGGCTTGGCTCTACAGCGTCTCTACCGACTGCAACAAGTACCCCGAGACGCAGAGGTTGCCATGTATCTCGTCAAGAACCCCCATACCCACGATCTGCTAGTCACAATGTCCGACATTAACACGCAAGAATGGGAGATTTTGACTTCTGGACGATTCGATGGCTTCCTCTGGTCCGGAGCAGATGGCGACGATACTCCCACAGCAGAATCCCGTGGTGCCACCCCTGCAAGCGGTTACTACCCCTCTCGGCCAGGGACCATGAGCCCCAGCGTGCGAGGAACCCCAGGTTTCTCAGCATCTCGCAACACTACACCATTCTCCACCTACTCTCGCGGCGCCACACCTGCGTCCTTTGTGAGCAATGCATCATCCGCGGCGGCCAACAAGCAGGCAGTATCACGAGACGAAGAAATGGAAATGGCCGTCTTGGCAGAGGTAGAGCGAGAAATCTACCAGGGTATGGAGGCGTTGGAGGATGCGTTTGAAGCCCTTCACCTCAGGGCCGAAGTCGTCCGGACTGCGTTGCGCAACCGCGGAGCAGGATTGATGCACAGCCTTCAAAGCCGCCGGCGGATCGATGTCCTGCCCAATCCGAGCTCCGGCAACTCGCAGTCATCAGGCTACGAACGGCCCAGCTGGGCGCAAGGCGACTACGACGCCAACAGCGACAGCGAATGGGGAGGCGACGACTTTGAGCTGGCCCCTGACGATTCGGCGAGTAACATTAGCAGTTCACGCCATCGACGACCAAAGAGACGTACAGAGCGACGGACACCGGCACCGATTGAGGAAGATGACGAGGAAAACTGAACTCTACGATAAAAGGAAAAATAATGAAATGCGTTTTTTTGATGATCGATTTTTGTTTTTCATGGTTTGCTATCAGTGAGCCAGAAAGCTGTTTACGAAAAAAGGGTTCGGAGAGAGATGAAACGAAATGATGTCAGAGTCACGAAAGTTCTATGGTTGTTTTGAAATACCAAGGTGGAATTATGCGATGAAAGCTGCAAATGTTGGACCTGCCATTCAAAGTTGGGACGGACGTTGATGCGATGACGAATGGATTCGTGAGGGCTTTGAGGAATAGGGGATACAGCCGACCGGATGGAGGTTGAAGGGGCTGGACACGTGTGAAGGGAACGTTTGGGTCTATTCTTTGACGGATAGATCCAGGTATGGATGGTTGGGTACACACGTTCAAACGCGGAATCATCATCATCGCATGCGTCAGAGGTCTTGAAGTCGGGTTTCTTTCTGTCCCGTTTGATCGTTGGTGTCCCGGGAGGCTGGGCCTGCGCCGTTGCGAGAGCGCGGAGGATCGCGCGCGCGCGAAACTGTCCATGGCCTTTTTCAATATCTTCTCCGACTTTGCATTGTTCACGGAGTCCTGGGTTTTATTTTTATTTTACATTACGGTCATACGGCGAGAGAGGGGTCTATTTGGTTCTTCCTACCTTTGCCCTTAACCTCAACTCAAATCCAAACGTTTTCCAAGGCTCATTGGTTTGTCTTGTTGATATTATCGAATCCTGCTTGTGTCCTTGTCATATCAGGCTCTCGTGAGACTAGGTGCCTCTGTGACTAGATCCTTGGGCTTCACTCTCGTTGGGATTGTTACACCCTTGATATCTATCAGTCACTTCACTGGTTAAGTATCACAGGGAGACAAGCAAGGGACCAGACCATGTAAGTCATCGCTGTATTTGAGTACCCGAGAAAGCAGAGATGCGTACGAGTCTATCTAGTTCGATGGATCTAGTTCCACGACTGAGGTCAAATGTTTTCTCTTCAGTCAGATCCTGTTGATGACCCAGAGAGATGATGCATATACTCCGCCCTCTCATGTGAGTAGACACCCTCCAAATTCGCCAAATGCTCCAAAAACCATCTCCCAGTAAAAAGTGTCCTCCCTTCAGACCAAAATACGCCGACCAGCATGTCCAAGATGGTATCAATCCATGTCAATCCCATCGCCCTGGTGAACCCGCAAAACCTGGCCAAGATTCCGGGTACCTCGCTTCACAGCCTCGGCGTTCCTGCCCGCAGCCTCAAAATCCTCCAGTTCCTTCTTGGCTCTCTTAGCATTTGCCTCTAGCGTTTTCTTGTCCCTCTTGGCCGACTTGTGCATGGCATTGACGGCCTGGGCGAGGGGGAATATCACGTCCTGGAGGCACGCCCGCAAGGCCTGGTTGTCCTTGCGGAGCTGTGCAAGTGCTAGATCTTGTTTCTTGAGGAAAGTTGTGTGTGCCTCCAGTTCCATAGCAAATTTATAGGAATTGCCAACCTGCTCTCCAACAGCGCGCTCAATGTTATCTAGTCTCTGTGTCTGGGCGAGGAGCTGACCACCTTGGTCTTCAAGTTGAGTAGTATGTTTGCCCGAGAGAGCGTCTAGCTTCTTGACCTTGTGCAGAGCTCGTCGAAGGTCCTTTGTAGAAATTCGCTTCCCGCTTTTGGAGGAAGAGGAGGAGGAGAAGGAGGAGTAAGGAGTTGGAGGCCTGTTGGACAAGGAGTTGACGTCTTGATGGACTGAGTTGGTCAACTTCGTCAGTTGCTCGGCAGACTTGGCGACGCCACCTATTTTCGAAGCCTGCTCAGATTCGACACCAGACATGCCTTGGAGATGACGACTGGCAGACGCTGAGGCCTCTGACTCCTCGTGCTGACTTGTAACAACCGGTGGCGGCTTTGGGGGCTGGAAATTGGTTAGCCACGGCAAAGCCTTCTTGGGACTGGTGATTGCAGCTTTCGCAATAGGTGAAGCCTGTGGGGAAGATCGGCCGGAGGGCTGAATATAATCATATTCGTGATCGTCGATCAAGGAGATGGCGTCGTCAGCTGAAGACCCCCTCTGTTGTTGCTTGGCTTGGGCCAGAACCTCCTCCGGATTGTCTTCTGATTCGGATCCCAGGTCCTCGGAGGAACGCTTCGGATTGGGCGGCACTCTGGCAAGCTTCTTCTCGGCGTGTGGCAACGTGGGGTCGCAGCATTTCGTCGCATCCCAGCCAGAAATCTCGAGTTTGGTGACGATGTCCTGCGGCAGACTGACATTGTTGATGAGTCGGATCGACTCCATCATTGGCGCCGAAGGTGGCCGTTGCCTGTACTGGGTTTCCTTCCAGTCCTTCATGAAATCGCCGTATACTCTCTGATCGCTAAGTGCTCTTGGCTTATTCTTTTCCAAGTCCCAGAGTACCTTGGAAATGTGGGTGTTGACCGCCTCGTTACAGGCCGGATACTTGCTGTAAGCGGGATTTTTGTAGCGTTTAGCCCACTTCCTCCAGCCAACGATCGATTGACCAGTGTATGGCTTGACCTTCATGATGTTGGGCTTTAAGGAAGACATAGATTCTTCCTGAGTAAGTTTTTGTGCTGGAGGGCGCTGCAGTGAAACTGTAGTTGCCTGCGGCGGGTTGTTGTTGTTGTTGTTGTTGTTGACGCTCTCGAGTAAAGTTTGGTCTGGCTTGGCTGTCAATTGGCCAGCAGACGTAGGTCGAGACGGGACAGTCGGCTGTGGTGTCCCTCTCTCAGAGGCTGCCGATGGAGAGATTGTCTGGAATCTACCAGGTTCGACGAACAAAGACGAAGACGTAGAAGGCGAATACCGTACATCCAGAGGAGGTGCTGTGGTTGTTGTCTGCGGCGTCATAGGCGTCACAGGCGTCACAGGCGTCACAGGCGTGATTCGGCTCTGCTGTGAGGATATACCTGCGGACATTGATGTACTCTGGTTGAGGTGCGGAAAATGGTTTTGAAAAGGAAAAGTCGCAGATTCCGAAGTTTGAGAAAAGGCAGAAGGAAGAGGACCAGGGACCGAGAAAGAAGGAGCGGCTTCTGGCCGGTCCTGCCTTCCGAATCCTTTTGGGTAAGACCAATTCCGAATCATAGTATTCGGGGGCTTCTCCTCCGGAATGGCAAGAAGATTGGTAGGTTCTTGGAGGAACTTCGACCTGTTGACAATTCGCAAGAACTCGATTCCTGGTATGGTATCAGAGAAGCCGGGTATGACCGAGGGAAGTCGTGAGTCGCGAGTGACAAAGGCGTAAATCTTATGCTTCGCCGGAGATTATGCTTCTCATGTAGAGGGGAAGGATTCGGGCTTCAAGACAAGGTATGTATGCGAACTACCATATGATCTACCTCGCCCTGCTGAATGTTCTGGTGTGGAGTGGTCAGAGTTGTCGGGCGAGAAGGACGTCGTTCTATCTGTCGTTTCGCTGTGCCTTCCTGCCGTGCGTCAAATGTATCCAGAAGGAGCTGTCATCGACAGGCTGTTTCTCTTTCGATTGATGAATCTCCTGCTTCTCGTCACTGACTTCCGTTAGGCCGCTGTTGCGTTGCGAGAGGCAATGGGTAGAATGAGAGGAGCCAGCGGCGTTGAGAAGAGGTGCGATTGAAAACTTCATCACAAAGCAGTACTACTGCCAGATCAACGACCGAGGAGAGAGCTGAGTGAATACTCGAACAAGGACAAAACTTCATGAGACTTTGACAATTAAATGCCTCCGCAGTAAAAATTCCGATCTTTCACCAAAGAAAAATGAAGCATTTACTAACGCAAGCAGAACTCTTCGGCTTCATTTAACACCTGTCCCACCCTGTACTTGAATACCTGGAGAGCGACGACACAGGTTCACCGCGACTGACGTTGAACAGAATGCGAGGTCAAACTACAGGTTCTCGTAGTGTAGAATAAAACTCTCTGGTGTCCGCTTTCCAGATGTCTGCATCTATGTGGGTGATATTCAATATCTTCCCCAGATTTCTCATGGCCCAACTTAAGCCGCTCACCAACAACCGACCTCCCGTTCTCCTTGTGGACATTTTCCACTCAAAGTCAACAGCCGAAAAAGCCCAGATAGTCAGACGCCCTGATCGCTCAGGTTCTCGAGTATGGCGATGGGCCACATATTCTGTCACCCACCTGCCACACCCTCAACTAACGAAAGTATAACCATCCCCAACCGCCTTCGTAACTACATGCAACCACACCCATCAGAGAATTCGTGATCCTATCCGATCTATCAGATTCCAGATTCCCACTACTGCCGGATCCCACCGCCCGCAGCAAGCCCCCTTCATACTTGTACCAGCCGCCTGGTTACGGCTAGGATCTTACCGATTAGACCACCAATTCAAGCAAAGCAATACTATTCATTGAGTACTGACAGATCCCTAGTATCAACGGAATTATCCAGAGATTGTCACCGCTAGTCGTAGCGTAGCCGACGCAATGTGTAAAACACTCCGATCCTCCTCGAGCTTAGAGGTCCAAAGCGTCCTGTATCTTGGTGACATTTCACGGCACTTGACACACTTGAGAAAGAAATATACTGACTCCGGGATTTGCCGTCGTCACCCAACTTCAAGTTCGAGTATAGGTGTCACGATACTTGGCATGAACTTTGAAAGTCCAATCCAGTACCCCTAGATAGGATCGTCATATCATAGTCAGAAAGGTGGCGCGCTTTCACAGCGTACTAGTACTTTCAAAGTGTCTCTGCCAGCCATCTATCAATGTAATCTCGGCACGACAGAGAGCTTAGTATGGCTTGAGTTTTCAATGAAACCGCGACTTACATCTCGAGAGGGGGGAAAAGAAAAAAGCAAGTAAGTAGCCCTTCAACACCAGTGGACGCCAAGCCCTAGCAGTTCGAAATTTCATGATCGACATCGCAATGCCACTGCTACTACACCATCAACCATGCCGCCAAGAGACAAAAGGTCAAGCATGAGGAAGCCCGCCGCTTGTGCAATTCTCATCGTCAAGGAGAAGGCTATCGACTATCCCCTGGTAACCTCGGAAACTCTTTTCTTTCTCTTCAATTTCCATCATGCTTGCAAAAAGAGCGTCGGCTTGGGGGTTCGACACCACGGAAACTCCTGCCCTCTACTTTGGCGTCTGCATAGGTCTGCTGGCACTCACCTCTGCAAAAGCCGTCCAGCAGAGTTTCGTAATCTATTCGAGGACAAACTCTCTCAAGAATATCTACGCTTGGATGTCAGTCATATACCCATAGGACAACCCAGTACCGCGCGGCTTCGAGGGGGTTCAGGGAAAATTGACACACACACACACACACTCCAGGGTATGGATTTTCTTCTCCGCCAACGCCACACAGGCGATTATAATTTTCTTACTATTCCGCGGAGACATTACAATCAAGTAAGCAAAAGGCCAAAACGTCCCCAACTCACTTTCACCTACTATTTTGCTAAATGCTAGTCAACATCAGCATGGGCTCCATGATTGCGGACGCCATCAGCTGGGTTCTACAAACCCAACTCGCCCCCCAGATTCTCGCAAACAGACTCGGTCTCCTCATGCACAACAAGCAACGAGTCAAATACATGAAGATAGGTCTGCTCGTCCTCATCGGCGTCTTCAACCTCGCATACATTGCCCTGAGGGTCGTCTTTACAATAGACCCCTCTCGGCTGGCCGTGGTTCTCAACAGATACTTGACTCGGCTGGATATAGTCATCGATCTGCTAGTTAACATTGTGCTCGACACAACATTTCTCATAATCATCAAGCGTGAGCTTATTGTCGGCGGCCTAGTCAAATATCGGCTTTTGTTCAATTGTGGTGTGGCGGCTGTGTGCCTTTCGATATCCTTGAATGTAAGTTTTCTGCGACACTAACGCGTTCTCCAAGTAAACATACATAACATGGGTCTGACCTTCTCTCTCTCCCTTCCTCAAAAAGGTTGTCATGATGATCCCCACATCTGCACCAAATTCTTATCATTACACCTGCACCCATCCGGTTGCCTACTGCGCCAGGCTCATAATCGAGATGCTGATGGCGGATTTGATTGCAGTGATTGCGCGGACCCCGCATGAGATGAGGGATCTTTGAGTAAGGTAGTTAGTGTGATCTAGCGCTTTGGATTGCCGCCGGAACCGCCATCTCGAAATGGGTCATGCTTAGTTCTGAGACAATTCAAGTACCTTCTTCCCCAATCATTGCACTCACCTCCCTCCCTTTAGCAAGTGACATGCTTTGAAAGAATTCGCCGAGGTCGATAGGACAGCATTGAAAGGAAGGAAGACAAGCTCGGAGACATAGCCTTTCCGTCTGAACAGCCACATTCCTTTACAATCCCTTCACTCTTAGGACAACGTAACAAA